AAAGATCAGTAATTACCTGTCATGTTCATTGAGTATTAGTTGAGTTTCATTTCATACCTTTCTCAAATGTATCCGTCAGGGTCACCTTGGAGCCATTGCCTTTCCCCAACAGTCTTTGAACAAAAGCTGTGGTACACCCTGGAGAGGTCACCAGTCTGTTGCAAGGCAAAAGAGAAGAGACCCACAACTGTCATGATCTTGGCACTGATGTCTGGTCTTATTACTCACTTCACACACCTGCTTAGTTCTGCCCAGTTATCATTACCTGCTTATCTGATCCACCTGTACTAGTCTCTATTTATCCAGCCTTTAGATCAGTCATCAATGGCAGATTATTCACAAACCGTTGGTGAGAAGTATTCTAGAGTACCTGTGTTCCAACTCCCTGATCCATTTTGCCTTTCGACCTCTGAGCCTGCCTGTCCCAGTCTGATTGGTTTTCCTGACCTGTCCTCTGACTTCTGCTGGATCTATGCCTGTCTGTGTACCATACCTGGAACTCTTACCCAACTCTGTCCTGAATTCACCCATGGCAACTCGCTTGATCTCTGACCTCCAGGCTTTGACAACTGAGAATGTCTTTGACCCGCTTCTGTCAGTGAGCCCCAGGGCAGCTGTGACTACAATGTAGCTTGCCACCATCAGTGTGTGAATGTGTGCGTGAATGGGTGAATGACCTCTAGGCTCTGACTAAACTATAAGACCAGGTTAGTGACTCACATGTTTAGGTTCAGTTTCCAAAAAACATTTTGAGAAATCTGTTTGTCCACCTTGAATACTGGATTCTACTGTTCTGAGCCTGACACACAACCATGTAAACACACCCACACACACACAACTAATGAAAATTTAGAAACACTAATAATCGTACTGTTCTTGTTGTTACTCAATATGCAAATGTTGTTAAAAGAGCAGATAAACAATAGAAAATGTAATTTGAACTGTTATAACCATTGTTTTCTTGCATGAAATTTTATTCTAAGAGCTTGTGCCATACATCTGCAGCTCATTTGTGTGAATTTATTGAGTGTGAAGTCAAGAGGTGTGCTTCTGCTCCCCGTCTGAAATGGAGATCTGAGTTAATGGAATCGGGAGCAGCAGACGTCTTTACTCACTGGATCTCAGCAGCTGAATCGTGTGTTTTCATTTTGTGTTAGATGAAGAGGGGAAGCTGGGGAGGCAGAGAAAAGACGAAGGCAGGGTTGTTTGAAGGAGGGTAGCAGCTTGTTAGAGAACGAGAGAAAGGAATAAGTAGAGAGCTCAGCTGCAGAGTTGAGCAGACTGCAGCGTCATACATATTACATGCATCAGATATTGCTCATATCAACACTTGCTCAGTGTTACTCGACTGGAATAAACTTTCAGATCCCCAGGGATGATAAATATACATCCAGGAGTAATGCAGGGCACTGTGGGAGCTGAGCTGATGTGTTTAATATGAATTGTTTAAATGAGTGGATGAATCTATTAAAAAATAAGGAAAAAACACTCCGCTAAAAGACTTTAGTAGAATGGAGTCTACAATAAAATTTGAAGATGAAGGTTCTCAGTAATCCAGGTCATAGTCATTCCGTAAAAATTCAATTCAGCTTTCTCGAATTGAGAAAACTTCCTGGAGAGGTGGTGAAACGTCTTCAAATCTTGGAAACCAAGTCCAGTGGATATTTTTTGAATTTTTACGGAGTAAAACATGAACTGTCCTTTAGCCATTAACTGACCTGCCCAACCAGCTATATTTATATGTGCTGTACACTCAGACATGAAGAAACGGATTTGGGAATGCAAGTAGGCTTTAAAAAAAGTTCATTTTAACCTTATTTTTAGCACAAGGCGTACTACTGATTTTAGTGTAATAATAGTAAACTTGTGGAGGAAATTTCTTCTGTAATGCAGTCTGTAACCAGCTTTATGAGCCTGCTGAGTCCCCCAGTTCAGTCTGTGCAAGATGTCGCTTAGTTTTTTACTTCATTACTAAAATACACAGGAAAAAAAACAGCCAATGATTCTGAGACTATAATTCTAAAGAGCATCTTGATCATAAGTTATTCTTTTAACCTGTTACTCTATTTATTTTTACTCAATTCAGTTTGTTTAAATAGCACCAATTTACAACACATATCATACCAAGAAACCATAAATATACAATTCAATCAAAGCATATAAACTGATTAAAAGTGTTCAATCTAAGGAACCCCACTGACTGCATCCAGTCACTGATTTTGCGGGGTTCACTCTTCCTGGATAAACATTTAGAGACAGCTGAAATTCACTTGCATTGTTTCGTTTACACGCCAGCAATCCCTCTGACTGAGCGTGCATGTCAACAATGGGTGGTAAGGTTGCTTAAGGGCCCAGATGCAGAGCCGAGTGAAGCAGAGATTTGTTCTGACAGGTTTAATTGAAGAACCAAGGAAACAGAGGTACTAATCCAGAAATCTAACTAAAAAGTTTAACAGACCAAAAACCATGGAAACATGAGGGGAAAATACGAGCCTGAGGAGCCACAGGGAGATGAGCTGAGTAGACGAGTACAGCATTGAGAAGGAACCAGCACTGAGTGACTGCAGAGGTGGAGTATTTAAGGAGAACAGAACAAAGGATGGACTAATGAGCTGAATAAGGAGCAGGTGTGGGTGGAACTGGCAAGAGGGAATCCAAGGGGAAAGAAAACAATCACAAGGGGGCAACAGAGAGTAACTAAAGAATGCTTGAATATCATGAAAAATAAAAAAAGGTGATAACAGAAAACTCAGAGTCACAACAAATGGGAAGAGCCATAACAGTGCATGCAGTGACACTGGATTGGGAGAAAACTCCCTCTTAACAGAAGTAAACCTCGAGAAGAAACAGGTTCAGTGTAAATGGCCAATGTAATTGAACTGCTGATCCTTAAATACTTTCTATGTTAGAAAAAGTAATAGTAAACTAGCCTGACAGGTGGCTCGCTATGGAGGAGAACAGTTGAGCCGACAAGGTCTCAGCCAGTTTTCATTAAAAAAAAGTATAACAGATAGCATATTCAGTTTGTGGAAAATAGGCAAGACTCTATCATCTATAACAGGCATCACCAAATTCGGTTCTCGAGGGATGCTGTATTGCAGGTTTTAGAGGTTTCTCTGCTTTAGCACAGCTGATTCTGATGATTGCAGTTCAGCAAAAGCATGTTAATCAACTATCAATGTAAATCAGCTGTGCTGGAGCAGGGAAACCACGGAAACCTGCAGGACGGCGACCCTCGAGAACCAACTTTGGGGACGCCTGACCTATAGTAAAGGATTTTGACAGCACAAGCCCAGCTGGTGCTTCCTGCCTGAATGGTGTTACAGCTCAACAGAGTGTCAGGGTAGATGAAGCTATTAAGGTGAGAAATAACAGAGAGGACATAAAGTCAAGGGTTGAACTTACAAATAATGCAGAATTCAGGAATAGTAGTATGAGGCAGAATGATGGAAAGTGGTTCCTATGTCCTCCAGCAATCTAAGCCTATAGCAGCATAACTATAGACATAGCTCAAGATAACCTGAGCCACTCTAACTATAAGCTTTGCCAAGAAGGACATTTTTAAACCTAGTTTTTAAAGTAACAAAGCATCTTGAGGTGTTATTCTATCTATTATAACAGAGTTCTTTGGCTGATTGCTTTAGAAGGGCTGATGCTGAGTGTAAAAGTCCAATATACCAGTTTATGTTCCCTTTGTTATCTGGCCTGGGCCCAGACAGAGAACCCATTCAACCCGGCACCCATTCAGGTTGCCTTGACAACAAACAGTCAGACTGCTGGACAGTGGCACAGACACTAGGTCATAGACCCCTTTGACAGTCAGTGACTTTGACGCATCATAGAAGTGGAGGCATGGGTCAAAGACTGTGGTCTGTTCAAAATAAAACATCTGAACAGAACGCTCACTTTATTCTGCTATCACTGCTTAAAAATGTTTATCACACTGCAAAGTGCACTTTGCACACATGCAGTTGTCCGTCTAAATCCTAATATCAGCTGCAGCAATCAGTGAATCCTTTTAAATGAGAGGTTGCATAAAAGCTATTCAAGTTCCAACTAAAACATTGAATTTGTTTAGGGAAAATTCAAAAGCTGAGTCTTTATTCAATAATGAGGTTTATGTTGTAAGCAGGTTCAATCATGGTTACATTTCAGCTAAACTGTTAAGAATTCTTCTAGGATTTTTCTCCTTATTTGGGCAATCATGCTCTTTATATTCATATATTTTAAAACAAAATATATATATTGGCTTTATATTATTGTCAGTGATTTAGCTATGAGTTTAGCTGATTTAAACTTAAATAAAATTTAAAGGGGAACACTGGTGTTTTTACATTGGCCCCTTTATTTTATGTTATTGACAATATTGAGATGCTGTCACTTATTCATAAACTGATGGTCAATTTTAGTGTTATTGCTGGATAACTCATATACTTAAAGGGCAATCACTGATTCTCATGCGCCCAAGCAGTTTACAAACTTTTTATTTTTCTTTTATCGAAGCTTTCCACTTACTAAAGCCTGCTACTTATTTTTTTTGTGCATGTACATGATAATTGAGATAATTGAGAACTCAATGCTATTCGTGACAATTTGAACTGAAAAAGCTTCCCGGATGGGAAGTGAAACGTTTTCAAACATGGAAACAAAGTCCAGTGGAATGTTTGTAACTTTCTTTTTTTGGAAGGACTGACCTGAACGACTGGGAATCTTCACCAGCATAATTGGGAGCTTGTGGATTGTCAGCTGATATTCATTGAGTTCCTTTGTTAATTATTTTTAAAATAAACGTTAAACTTATGGATTAGAACATTCTATAACATAACTTTTCTATACATATATATATATATATAATTTTTTTTCAACAAACGCCTATACTTGTCACTGGGGAAAGGGGAGGTAGAAGACTATGACACCGGTATGTGTGTGTGTGTGTGTGTTGTGGGGAGTGTACGGAGAGGGAGACGGGGGAGAGAGGGAGCGGATGACACGCACACACAGCCTCTGTTTCTCACATAGAGAGGAGAGAAGGACAGTGAGGGAGACAAGAGTGGAGAGAAGAGGAGAAGCAGAGGGGAGAACAGCGGAGAAATGCCTGCTGGGCGGATGGATCTGATTCTCCCAGAGCTGCACGAGCCTCTATAAGACAACATGGGCTGCATAGGATCCAGGACGATCAGTAAGGACACGCCGCTTTCTGTTCTGCCATGTGGATGGATGGATGGATGGATGGATGGATGGATGGATGGATGGATGGATGGATGGATGGATGGATGGATGGATGGGGAGGCAGAGGAATGCGTTGTTGAAGAACTCAGGTGCACGTGCAGCCTATTCCTGGAGTTGCTTTGCAGAGAGTTGGGGCTTCCAATGAGACTCTTTTCTGTATTTTTTCAGGATCCAGTGAATCCAGAGTTCACTGCAGGAATGGCTGAGTGTGTGTTGGTGTGTTTTGGGGTGTTTGAGCGGAGGGGAGAGGCTGGACAGACAGGCGGAGGGATGTGAGCGCAATAAGACACCGCTGACGTTTTCCTCTCCACATGGATGACACCGGACACGCGGCAAACGTGCGCGCTTCTGTGTGTCAGACAAGGAGAAAGAGGGAGGGATGCAGAGAGACCTCCGCTGCTAAGGTCATTTCATGTTAGGCGTCTGAGCCCCCCCCATTCTCCTTCCATCTTCCACCCGCTCTTACCCTTTCTTTCCCTCCTTCCTCCCTCCATCCTACTCTCGTCCTTTCTCTCCACTGTGCGTCATGGAGCGACGTGATATATTGAAGATGCAGAGTGACCCCCCCACCCAACATGCACTGACACTCCGGGTTATGAGAGGGAGGCTCCGTGATGACTCAGAACCTGGCTCAGTAAACCCAGGTGTGATCCTGAGACGCTCTGCGCATGTAGGTCAACCCTACAAAGTCAAACGTGCAAACTGCTGCCACCGCGTCCTCTGTTATTGGCTGCTGTGTTAAAGCATCCCAACCACAGGCAATACATTTATTGTAAATTAATCAGTTGCATCATCTTTGTTCAGAAACATCAGTTGAGCTGATCTGTTGGATTGACTGAGGCGGTGTCTTCATAGCATGCAATCTTGGAGCTACATATTATCCACTTGGTTATTCCAAGAAGCGACTGGCCAGGAGTTGTAACTCAACTTTGTGGTCAATAGTCAACTCACCTAAAGGCAGTGGCGCCACCAGCGGTGGCCACTGCACCTTGCAATGCCCGGGCCACCCTACTCGCCAGGGTAAATTGTAGTACCATCAGTTTAGCATTTCATCCCATTATGCACAGCCAGCGACGTAACTTTAATAATCACAAAATAAACCAAGGTATGAGTAGGTGTTTAGTAGTGTTGCACCGATACCGATACCAGTATCGGGCAGGGCCCCGAAACCGCACTAGAATAGAGAGAGAGAGAGAGAGAAATATCAGCTGTGCTGCTGCCATCAACACATTTGTTTGTAAATGTTGGGGATCAGCCTGTCTTCCAGTGTTGTCCTGTTTCTCTGACTGTGACTAACTGGATGTGCTCTCTTCATCCTCTGACATGGGAGTTGGCTCGGAGCTCGTCTGCCTGGCTGTGTGTTTCCTGTACCGAGCCGCCTTTTACAGCTGCTTTTTGTATCTTTACTTCTGTATCCTTGAACCTCAGTCGGCCTCGGCAGATGGCCGCTCACACTGAGCCTGGTTCTGCTGGAGGTTTCTTCCTGAAAAAAATTGAGTTTCCTTCTCTCCATTGTCGCTACAAGCATGCTTAGTGTGAGGGATTGCATTCGAGTCAATGAGTTGATGTAATCAAGTTGTTTTCCTTAGATAGAAAACTGTAAAGTGCCTTGGCGCTATATATATATATAAGCTGAATTTAATTAAATTGAATTGAATATTAAAATGGTGGTATCGGTATGGGCGAGTACGAACAAATAGGGCACCAATACCATTTTGAGAGCCAAAAGTTTATTCAACTATTGTCACCCATTCCAGGTAGGCAATAAAAAGTTCTACTGGATTCACTCAGTCTTTTTCCTGCCTCACAAAGGTAGGCAGCAGGTTGACAAAGCCATGATGGCAATTATTTTATATCCAAGTAGTATACAGTTCTATATATATACACACACATATCAATTTCAAACAGATGGTATCGGTATTGGCCAATACTGCACAGCCAGGTATCGGGTATCGTATTCGGTGCCCAAAAATGGCATTGATGCAACTCTAGTGTTTAGTTCATTCTTTAGGATTTCTACAGGCAGGTTTTACCACAATAGTAGATTTAAACCCTGAAATTATGGCATTTAGTTTCAGTTTGCCACCCCAACACTTTTAGTGGCCTCATCTGGCCCACCCCTATGAAACATTTCTGTAGGTGCCACTGCCTACAGTGTATAGTTTTACCCTCTATATCACAAAGGGTAGTTTTACCACAAAGGGTATAGTTTTGCCACCTATAAGACAAAGTTTCCTGGTCATAAAATCTGATTTCTTCTTGTAAATCGTTATTTGTCGTCTTACCAAAAGAAAGCTTCCAGGACCAGATCCTTTTAGTTCCTTATCAGAGTTCTTCTGATTAAACCCAGTTGTTGGTATTTTCTTTCACTGTTTTTAGTCACATTCTTGCATGGTTTTCAGGAAAGTTTGGATTCAAGACTTGAGGGTAGTTTTAAGACCGGCCGGATCAGTTGAAGAACTGTAGATGTTCAGCATCAGCATCATCTCAGTAAACGGGGCTCCAAGATACAAAGCGGAACATTGACAGAGATTTTATGGCTTGTTTGCATTAAAGCTGATATTTGCAGTTTGATAAAGAAGCTCATGTTATGTCCTCAGTTGAAAGAATATTTCTAAGGGATGGTCAGAAACATCAGGAATCCTTTGGGAGGAGTAGACCTTAACTTTCAAGACTCTTTGAAACATCCAGTAGTTGTAAACCGTATCAGTAAACGTTTCACAGATTTTCCCTACCTATGCTTTAAGGCATTGGCTTTTTGATGAGCTGTTTGTAACATATGTTTGTAAGCAATAGGGGGGTCCACATCACCAAACCTGCAATTAAAAGATGGAGACATGTTTTTTTTAGATAGAGGAAAGCAAAGAAAGATTACTAATCGCTCTAGAACGTATGCATTGTTTTCACCACCTTTATTTTAAACCAGGTCATGAAACTTTGGAGCACCAGATTACTTTTAGTTCTATCATACATCTGCTTCTGTGACACATCATTTATCATGTCCCTATACATCAAACCTGAGTGTTATAATATTATGAGTCATTAAGAGCAAAGCTGTCTACAAGGCCTGGACTGTATAACAGCCTCACTTACTTACTAGCATGTGCAATCTCAATGAAATGAAAAGCTTTAGAAGAATAGAATTAACCTTTATTGTTCCTCAGTGGGGAAATTTGCGTGTGCCAGCAGGAAAGTGAGAATCAAATGGAAGCAAATGCTGAAACACACAAGGTTACAATGAGAAAAAAAAAAGTTTAAAACATGTATTGAGCACTATCTTTAAAAAAAAAAAAAAAACCTTTGTGTGATGAATCAGATCCATTTGAGTCTAAGACGCTTTCAAGAACCAGCCAGATACCTGAGACCCCGGTGGAGTCCAGCTTTTTTATCCTTAACATTCAAATCTGTTCCAGTGACTCAGCGCATCATTAAAGTATAGCTCTTAAAAGTCAAAGAACTACTTCAACCAAAGCTCCTTTCTCCAATAATCTACAATTTTATGAAGCAGAGGCATATCACTGAGCCACAAACTGCCCCTGATAGCTTATTGCCTCATTTGGATAAAATGATGACAGGATTTGCCAAGTTCTAGGTGAAGTATACCAAAAAAATACACCTCAAAATCCTCCCTCTTTACTGTCTTTGTACTGTTATTTAAGATATGATAAGGAGCGTGTTTTAGAAAGTTAATGTTTCCACTGGTCCAGGTGATTAAACCAAAGCGGCTCAGCTTCAAACGCTGAGTAATATGGCAGCCAGCTGGGGTCTGTTATCACAACAGAGGGAAGATCATGACAGTTAGGGTTTGATGAAGACACAATCAGACATGGACCTTTATGAGATTCCTACAGCAGGAGCAAGAATATTATTATTGATGGTGTGAATAAGAATATCATACCTGTTTGCAAAGATAATAAGCCAGCTGATTATGAGCCAACTGATCCTGAACAAAAAACACCTTTTTGATCAGCAAGACAAATTTCATGCAGTCCAAAAATGTGTCCTCAAACATAAACATATGATTTAGAGCCTTCCCCCCATTCATCACAAAGACTAAGATCCAACAGACTGACTTCAAACTGCTGCCAAACTATAGAATGGTCACCCCTTCAAATGTCTGTTCTGTCAGCTTCCATTATGTGCAGCATGCAGCTGGACTGTCCTCTGTTTAAGTGCCCGTATTCAAACACCCACACTGCATAGTCACCCCCCCCAGCCTGTCTGTTGATGCACCATCAAAGCCTCATCAGATCCTTCATGGACACAGATGGAGGCAGCAGGGTTTTTGTAAATAAAAGGATGGACAATGTGACCTTTGGTTGTCATTGAGCTCGCTGGATGGAGGGATGTGGGGAGCGGCAGAGAGGGGGGTATTATTACTGGATGCCGAGGAATGAAGGGGATAAAAGGCCAAGGTGTGAAGAGTGAAATATGCTAGTGTCACCCCCACCCCAATACCCACTTTCATCTCGTTACTTGCCAAAGCGAAAGCAGATAAAACTGAAACAATGTACAAGATCAATGTGTTTGGGATATTTAACATGCGAGATAATGAAAACAAATGAGCAAAGGTAAATTATATTCTATCTACAGAGGACCACATATCAAGCCCTTAGAATAAGCTGAACACTCCTGGTTTTCTATCCAAAGGTTAGCTCCTGTTTTTAAAGTGCAAAGATCAGTTGCTCTTCCTTCTTCTGAGGCACTAAAGTCCTTTATTGAATGTTTTCTTTAATTACCGAAATAATAAACTATGTATCAATGATTTCAAATAATTGAGGAGTTTAATAATAACTGTATTTTATTATAGGAAGATATTTAAAAGAAAACAGTATAAACTATAAACTAGAGCTATAATCTAAAAAGAGGTTGTCACTTCAAGAAGTTGTTTACTGAATTTCTACCTACTTTGGTCAGAATCTGTTATAATAAAAAATAACTAACTTTGTC